GGCATAGTGTCGGCATAGTGTCGGTAAATTGTCGGCCCGATACCTGTACTGTCGGCAACTGTCGTTTCAGCGACAGAAGACAGCCATCTGACAACGGAGTGATGTCTTTTTAGAGACAGTATGTTTGCAGTTAGAAAAAAGACAACGGCCCACGTGATATCTCATAGCCAACTTGTCACGAATAGCAAAAATAATATTCTGGCCCGATTCTGATATAGCATATTTGTTTTTTTTTTTTTTTTTGTAAGCTGGCGGTCATCTTATTTATTGCGGCCCACTAACGTTGTCGAGACATGGCTCTTTATCACAATAAAGATACAAAGATAATGTATTTTTGCCGACATACTTTTGGAAAGTGTTTTGAATAGGCAAGACGTTAGCCAGCTGTTAACGGCATGACGTATTTTTTGAGACAGTATGTTTGCCGTTAGAAAAAAGACAATAGCTGGCTGTATTTTTTTGGATAACAGATGGATATCACCTAAATTATGTCGACGTGATATCTCATAGTCAACATGTCGCCAATAGCAAAAATAATATTCTGGCCCGATTCTGATATAGCATATTTGTTTTTTCGGTAAGCTGGCGGTCATTTTATTTATTGCGGCCCACTAACGTTTTCGAGACATGGCTCTTTATCACAATAAAGATACTAATATGGCCTTTTTGCCGAAACTTTTTAAAAGTTTCTTTGGAAGTGGTGTAATGTTTTTTTTATGTATTTGTCTATGACTAAGCATTCACCGTGCTTGCAGGAATAATAAACACTGGTTAATAGGGGCGAATAACATGGCAGTTTAAAAGAAAGTTTGTTTGGAACAAAATATGGAACAGGAGTAAAAAGTTTCGTAAAGGGAAAGTTCTGCAAGAATATGAAAGTGATGTTTCGTCGTATAAAAGTTAAAATGATGTTGAAAAGGAAAATTATAATTAATCTTCGTCACGTGTAAACAAACATTGTATTTCCTCAAGAAGAAGTTGATAATAAATACGCGAAATTCGCAAGATGATTTAGCTTGCAGATATATTTGGAAGAAGATGTTGCATAATATCTAACGATATGCAAGATTGTAAAGAAGAAATTCCTGACGGCAGGAAGTCCCATCTCATCGAGGATTCCAAAGTCAACTGGTGAGCTGGTGTACAACCGGATCATTCTGCGGCGGATCGACAACGAAGCTTGACGCCCGCACACCCAAGAGAAGTGATGACGTGCTTCGTGATGTTACATAGGGCCAGAGAGAGAGAGAGAGAGAGAGAGAGAGTCTACACATAGTTTGCCATTCTTGAAGTTGCAGCGTCAGATAAGTCATATGCAACCTTATTAACACTAAAACTGGATCAGCAACGAAGTTGAGCTAATTCTATTGAAGTAATCCTTATAATAGTGTTGTTCTCTCCACTACTACTAATTTATGGATGAAAGCTAGAATTGATTGATCATCATTAAAATTGACACCGTATTTTGTTGTAATTTGAAATTTTGATTTTTTTTATATTCATCAGAGGAGCATTTAATTTATAAACCGTTAATATTATTTTAAAATTAATAACTTTATTAAAAGAAAAACAAATCTTATAAGACTATTTAATATTAACTGTGTGACAGCTTATGGTAGAAATAAGAAACTAGCTGGAGCAACTATTTAAATTAGCATATTTGTTGAAGTGAACAGTTTTAAAGTTTACTTCTTTAATTTGAAACTACCTGTTACATAGTAATTGGCTATCCTAACGTTGGGGATATGAAATACTCCGCACGTTAGGTCTGTTTGACAAGGCATTACAATAATAATTGTCGACTCAACGTGTGGGCTTCAAAGAATAAAAGAATAATTTATCCACAAAGCCTTGAGAAATTTATAAAATAGTTAAAGGTATATGCTTTAGAAGAATCCATAGAGTAAACTATTTTGTGTTACTTATTTGACTAGTATATGAGTAGTAAAACCAGCTCACCTTATTTCCTTAGAGTTAACAAACATACAAGTAATAACATGGCTGCTATTTCCACAGATTTATCCATAGAGAATACCTGTGAAAATTCTGACACTGAAACACAAGCAATCCCAAATAACATCGTAGATGATACTTTGACTAGAGATATAAATATTAATGAAACTTTGTCTATAAATATAAATGTCTCACATGACGATCGATTTGACAAATTGTTTCTGTTTATGCGCGAAATGAAAGACGACATGGAGGAGATGAAAGATGAAATGAATACCCGGCAGGAAAATAATTTGAGGAAAATGGAGGATCGTTTAAGCACTCGTCAGTAAAGTAACTTGCGGGAGCTGGAAGACGAAACGAACGTGCGGCTAGAGCAAATATGTCGCCAGTTAGATAGTAGCATAAGCGAAATGAAAACCAAATTAAATGAATTAAACTCCCGTCAGGAAGACGACATGAGGGAAATAAACGCGCAACTGGAACAAACTTCCAAGGAATTTAGGAAGGAGGTTGCACACACTCACATACACACAAACAAACAGAAACAAACACACACACACATTCAAACACACAGAAACAAACACACACAAACACCCAGAAACAAACACACACATACAAACACACAGAAACAAACACACACACGCATACACACAAACACACAGAAACAAACACACACACATACACACAAACACACACACATACTCATAAACGCACAGAAACAAACACACACATACACACAAACACACAGAAACAAACACACATACACACAAACGCACAGAAACAAACACACACATACACACAAACACACAGAAACAAACACACACGCACACACACTGAATTGAAGGCAGTTTCCGAAAAATTCGAACAACGATTCTCCACAGTCGAACATAACACTGCGGATTTGGAGGAACGAGTAGCAATACAACTCGAATCGCTGAAAAACCATATAGAGGACAGGTTAGATAAGGAGAAGATCACAACCGAGTCCAAATTGAATAAGTTCAGTGGGGAAGTTAAGTTGATATCGGAGAAATGGGACGGTGTAATAAAATCAGTAGGGGAAATCCGCATTAATAACCCTTATCGGAGCCCGAAATATGCGATTACCAATGCGAACCCAGCGGAAGTTTCTTGTTCGTCTGTCCAGGCTAGCGACAGCCACGCTCAAGCAATAAGTTCAGCCAGTTCACCTATTACACCACTCTAGCGAGTTGTGGGCGGACCAGATGCTTTCGTTTGAAGGGAGTAGTGTGAGAAAGCCACAACTGCTGTAATGAGCATAGCTGTTAGATCACGTCGTCGTGAAGCTGAGAAGAAACATCGTAATGAGAAGGTGGAAGTGGATGAATATACGGGGAATAAGAAGGAAGAAAGAAAGCAGGACTAGAAATAAGAGAAGAAAGAAGAAAGGAGAGAAGATAATAGAGAAAAGTCGAAAGCAGAGGAAAAAGAAAAGAATAAAGATGAGAAGAAAGAAAAGGATAAAGATGCGAAAGAAAATAATAAGAAAAAGAAACCAGAACCAAAAGCCGTGGGATCCTGGAGGCACCAACACATCTGAGATACGAGACTTTGAGCAATTAAGTTCTGGAAACATTGACGGATCAGCGATCGGTAATATTTGTTATGTCCAAATTACTGACTCCGCCTGACACAAGTACCAAACCGGAAGACGAAGATAAAGAAGAGAGAAGACGGAAATCACTAGAATTCGTGAGAAGAAGACTGATAATAGCAGCAGAGCAAAGGAGCAAGTATTCTAAAAAGTCGCAGAGGAAAGACTTATCTGTGAGACAGCTGGTTTTAGTAAAAGCACATTTAATTTCTAAGGCCTGGAATCACATTGTAAAAAGAAGTTATTGCCACTATATATAGAACCTGTTAAGATCTCGAAAGTTTGCAATCGAAATTGCTATGAAGTAGTTTGTCCCGAGACGAACATAGCACAGGCAGATAGAAGCAGTTTGGGGAAGAAATTAAATATATTTTAACTGCCAAATAATAAATATGAGTTTTGAGATATGGAGATTTGAATTTGTTACACGTCCATAGAGACTTTATTGTGCCCTAAATGTGTGCCACATTAACGACGATATTTTGCAATGAGTTGATAATTTTATATTGGATTTTACAGTTGTGAATGTTTAATTTTCCAACTCACATATATGTGTGATGGCGTAGTAATGATTTAATGCCTATTCTCATGGTAGCCTGAGTACAAGCCAGATATCCTGCATAGATAGGACAAGACAGACTGAGAGACGCATAACTTGTTCGAGAGAAAAAAAATTGCTAACTAATGGGAATATTACAGGAAACAAGGTGGCAGGACAACCAAATTAATGTGGTATTAGTGAACCACCAGGTAAAAACCTCAGAAAGCAAGTAGTAAAAATCTTGAAGTTTGAAATGATTAGGAAATGAAGAGAAACATGACACTTCTGCCTGGATAGAGGAATTCTAGGTTATGAAACACTGATCTTCGTTGAATAGGGTCTTCTGAGATTACTTGTTTGTCTTCTTGTGTATTATTTGAATTTTTCTTTAACATTATATTTGTTTCGTTTAAAGTTTTGCTTAAATGTGAACAAATAGTATCGTGTTGAATATGATGAATTGGCGTAATCAAAACATAATAATATTCTACTTATTAAAATAATGAAAATGATTAAATAATTATTTCATTCTAATTATATCTAGCTTAAAACTCAAAATTAATTTGATTACCCATTTATTCATCCACTTAATTATTGGTGAGTGGGTTTGGAATAACATTTATGTGTAATGATAACTTTATTATGTCGCTCTGAACGCAAGGACATAACATTTTTTTTAGAAAAAAAATAAATCAAACTGTGAAATGTTTAATGTTAATTAAGTTCTTATAAATGTGTTAGACAATGGGCAACCATTGAAGTAGATAACTATGAAAATACCAGAGAGAGAGAGAGAGAGAGAGAGAGAGAGAGAGAGAGAGAGAGAGAGAGAGCCCCCCCCCCCTCACACACACACACACACACACACACACACAGCGAAAGCACATCGCCTCTTTAGCTCAGAGGTAGAGCACTGGTCGCGTAAAACAGGGATCGTGGGTTCGAACCTCACAGGAAACAGCTCATTTTACCTACAACTCCGAGCAGGGTCAAGTGTAAACATATGGCTGAATGAAGATTAATTTACCTCCACCGCTTATCGATGAGCTTATAATGTAAGTAATTAATTTTAAGATTGTCACGAAACATTTCTTATGCGGTATACAGATACGCTATCACTGTAGATATGAATGAAGCACGATGTACAACAAAGTATTTATCTGATATTAATACAATATGTTACAAAAAGTGTTTACAAATTTGATCGCATGTATTATAGAAACGGGCATGTTAGATAGGATAATTTTGTTTTATAATGTTTATGCATAATGTGATGTTTAATTTTGTGTGGCCCAATGTGAGTGTGTATGTGTGGAATTGTTCATAGAGACCAAACCCGACCCGTGAGTCCAGCGTCGTTTCAGTACAAGATACGGGAGCAAACGGATAACACGTTTAAGCCTCAAGGCGTGTTATAGAAGATCAAGGAAGTCTGATAATGGCCATTGATATTTAAAATGGTCATAATTTACTTTTATATGATATTATTATTAGGGACATTATTTTATGATTGTGTAGAGGATAATTAAATATTGGAAATATAGAGTCTAAGTGGTAATTTCAGTATATCTCTGAGAAAAATATAAATATGTCAAAAAAACCAAAAACGAAAATAACTTTTCTCTCTCTCACATAGATTCTTTCACTTACTGTCTCTCTATCTCTCTCTCTCTTTCTCACACACAATAATGATAATAACAATTTTTGAACATGGCATTACTCATATTAAAAAAGCTCAATTAGTTAACACATTTTGAAAATAGTTAACGTATATCAAGATGTTTTCACATTGTATTCCAATTATATCTGCGATATAATTCAGTCATAGTTTTTCGTTCCATTGCTATGTTTTTTTATCGTAAGGAGGCACTTGCCTCTTGGTTCAAAGAAGTTTCCTACTGTTAGTGAAGATTATTGCGCCAAATGACGAGCGCTTGAAAGAAGCGGGCAGGGACACAGATCCCTTCTTGTGGAATATCGGGAACAACGATCCTCGTGCATTTTTTTTATTAGAAGGTAATCCCATTGGTGAATGTTTCTAGGAAATTCTTGAAGATAGTATTTTCCCTTGCATTGTGAATCAGCAAAGAATATTCGCTGACGTGTTGCATCACCATGCTGCTACCGATATTACTGTTGCCATGTTTGTTCCTGGTTAGACGAACAGTTTTCAGGAAAATGGACAGGTCGTTGTGAGTTTGTTTATACCCACGGTGGTCCCCCATACCTAATATAGGTGAATTTTTTATTTGTGTTGGTGATTAAAGACCATCATGCTCCCTGAGAAAATGAACAGTATAGACTACCTCTATATATGGCCGCTGGTGACATTTAAAAAATCATGCCCAATGCACTAACGCAAGTGTGATGCAGATGTAAGGATCGAGTTGATACACGTAATCAAGTGCATGGCTCTCATATTGAACATATACCTTCACTTTATTGTATGTTTGTATGCACGAAATGTTTCTTGAGTAACGTGATTCTTTCACAATGTTGTAGATACAGAATAATGAATATTTATTTTATTACACCCAAACTAAATAAGTTATGACGTGAGGTATTTAGAAACACCACTTCTACCATGACTAGAAGAGCATTTCGAAAAATACTACAAAAACGGGAATGAAGTAGAAGAAGATGTGAACACGCCACACGCCGAAGAATATGGCTGATTGGACTTACGGTAAGTCCTTTGTACGGCATTTTTAATAGAGGATCTTATAAAGGTACGTTAATAGAACTAATTAATAATTCTGTTTTTCTATTGCAGTTTTGGTGATACAAAGAGTGTTTTGTCTCTGACGTAGGTAATGAACATGTTTAATAGATTCATGTTCTTCCTCAGATTATAATGCATATTCAGAATACTCTCCCAATAAGTAATGTTCTATCTCATGGACTAACTGCAGTCGTGGAGAATAATTGCATAAAGAAAACGATAACTGCATGAGCGTAAGTCAGTATCATCGGAAGAGAATAATACGAATAACCTCCAGGCAGAAAGTATTTTTTAAAAGAGAAAAGTTAAAATATTAATATTTTAATCATACATGGAATATAGGCATCAATTTTTATGTGACAGAAACACGACGAAAAAATAACACAGCCCGACCAGGAACATATGATTTTAACAATGGTTTACAAACCAATAGCTACATTAACTTACGAATCATTACAAATTTAATAAATTTTAATGGAAATGTTTGCGTTCTGCAATGGTTATTTATCTACCACTAGAATTACACAGATATTACATATCAGGAAAGGAGAGCTCTTGGTGAAGCGACTTCTCACTAGTAAAGGAAACAATTTACAAAGGATGTGTAGGGTGTCGCAAGCAGGTCCAGTGGCTCAACGCCGAGGCAGAATTGCTAAGTGTAATGTAATACATAAACAAAAAAATGCAATTTGAAGCTACCCCATACAACCCCGCTCAACAATTTTGTTATTTGCTGTAAGCCTGCATTTCAAACTCTCGCCTTATCCTCAGCTCTTGACAGCATTAACTATCAAACTTGTAAATTACTCCTGCTGGGCACTTTTACTGGATCATACGAATTACATGCAGACTGCAAGAAGCAAACCACGTATTGTTTTCAAGCATACCAAAGACAGATTTACGCATATAAACAAATATTAACATGACACGAATTTCAGGTACTCACATCCGTTTACACTAAGACCATCCCTTTGGGTAACGAATAAATAATATGATATTGCAATATGCAGTATAAAAGATTGGAATGAAACGTAGTAACAACATTGATAATAATTACTTCTTATAAAGTAAAACGATGTATAATACTAATGAGCAATATTAATTATAGTGAAGATTTACTTAACGTGTTGTAGTAATAAATGAATACTGTAAATGGTTTGCCTTTTTTGTATTAGAGTTAAAATTTTTATTACTATTTAACAACACAAACACTGATGGAATAAGTACGAATTTAAGGGGAAGTAAAGTATGTAATCGAGTTGTTCGTGCTTGTATTAATCTGATAAATTACATAGTTTATGTTTTTTTGCACAAATACGAATTTTTTGAGTAGAATCATTCACGTGACAAATTACAGAGATAAACTTAGTTGAATCACAGACAAATATATTAAAGAATTTACTCAATACATTATGCATGCAAAATTATGTTGAGAAGGAAAGTTGCTGAACAAGAAAAAATAACCACGCGGGAGTTTTTCAGAATTTTTCTATTACTAATCTCTTAAAGGATATGGCACCATTAGAAACAAGTCAAAATTGCGAATCTCCCACTTCTGATGCCTCCTGCGAGGATCGAACTCACGACCCCTGGTTTACAAGACCAGTGCTCTACCACTGAGCTAAAGAGGCGCTTGCTTTGAGTTATGAACTGCATCCCATATAATGATATTTGGAATTCTGAACTACAGAACATTAACCTCGAAATATTTTTTAATAGAATATATGTAGATAGCTTTCATAGTATTCTTACAGGTCTATGTTGGTATAAACAAAAGACTAACTGCTAACTAATACCTCTAACTGGGAAGGATTTCGTTGTAAATTTGCTAGTTATTGCACCATATAGCTGTCAAACTTTCGCCCGTATAATTTCAGTAAGTTGTCATTACATTTTTTTATATATTTGTAATGTACTTAGTTTAGTTTGCCGCGAATTGTTTGTCAGTTACACATTGATGAGCATAACTGGCGAGTGTTTGAATAAAAAAAAAAAGTAGCAATATAGTTACATTATTGACCACATAAGAGTTAATAGTCGTAGTTACTATCTGCCTACTTCTTTACATAAAGTTCCTAACAAAAGTTTCATCTCGAGTCAGTCAACTTAAACTCAGTATTATGGGTTGTGGTAGTTTTATTGATTGTAGGAACAATTACTTCCAGTGTTTTGCCTGTGTAGCTGACATGTTCTGAGTTTCATACATTCATATATACATACACATAACTTAAATAAATTAGTTTTAAATTGCTTTTATTAATATTGCTTGTGTTAAATGTATTATATGTTGCAAGGAAATTATAGTATCTCTCGATTTTAACTGACTTGCTAATTTCAAATCCTGGCAAAGCAGTAAAAAATAAATTGAAATCAACGTGTAACATTTGTAGATTTCGAATAGGTTGTAACTCAAAAGCATTTCGTTTAGATAATTTCTTCTTCTTCTCTCTATAGTAGGATTACGGCCTGTTACATCCGGAAATTAAGAGTCTTCCCATGTCTGTTTGTCTTCCAGGCGATCTCTTTCCATCCACTGGTAAATTATCTCTTGCCACGCGCACAATTTTGTTTGATGCCATGCGGAATACGTATTGATTCCATTCCATTCTTCGTCTTTCTACCCAATCCCCTATTGCTTGGATATTCAACTGTCTTCTAATCTCGTCACTTGTGATATTGTGTCTCCTGGATTTATGTATAATTTTCCTCAAAATATTAATTTCATTTGTCTCTAAGAATCGTTTAGTTTTTGAGGTATCCGTCCTTGTCTCAGCAGCGCAAGTCGATATTGAGCGATTACTACTTTATAGATTCTTGTCTTAGTGTCCTTATTTAAGTACTCATTATTCCATATGATGTCGTTCATGCAGCCCGCTATTCTCGCTGCTTTATTAGCTAGATGTGCAACTTCATTCTGCAAGGATCCCCATTTTGTTATCTCAACACCTAAGTATTGTATTTCCATCACCTGTTCAATCATTTTTCTCTCTTGTTCTAACTTACATATTAAGGGGAATTTTCTTATAGTCATTGACTTGGTTTTTGTTAAAGATGTTTTCATATCGTACTTTTGCCAACCAAGATAGAATCTATATAATAATCTTTGCAAATCATCTTCGAAATCCGCCATCAAAACAGCATCATCGGCTTGGCATACAATATTAAGATCTTATCTCCCATTCCGTATCTATTTTTAGTTCTAATGTCTCTTATAATTTAATTAAGTATTAAATAAAAT